GAATGCGGAGTATCTCACAAAAAAAAAAAAACATTAATCAAGCCAATGAATATGATAACAAAGTGTCACTAAGCACTCTACTGAACAAAAGGAACCAGTCATTAAATATACCAAAGGATAGTGATAGTGATAAATACCTAATACACTCAAACCTGTAAAAGAAATTAAGGCCAAAGTCAAAGAAACATGTGATTATTTATGGCAAATAGCAGAGTGCAAGGCAATCTCAATACCTTTTTCTTGATTTGTAGAAGGGCTGGAGGCAATTTGAGTAACCGGAGCCAAAGGCTTCTCAGTACCTGACGAGGCTTGCTCATTCAGCTCTTTGTCATAAGATTGACTTGGAAGTTTGTGTGTTTCTTGCTTCCCAGTGTCTGCAATTTGATTAGGCTTCCATTGTCCTACTTGCTCCCCAGAGCTTGATGCTGTGGTAGTAGTGGCACTCATTTGATGAGTTCGACTGCTTTTGGTAATATCACTTGAAGATTCCTTATAGTTCCCTTCGTCTCCTTCTCGAGTTGCCTGATTAAGGTAGGCACACAAGATATTATATCTTGACGGCAACGCACATTTACATTCAATATTTTTACCCATATTTAAGTTTTCATTTGACTGTGTTTAAGTTTTACATATTTTTTCAGTCAATCATATTTTGCTGCAGCAAAATATTGTCTAACTTTAGTTCTTTAGATTTTACAAATGGAGGTTGAGACACATACATGATATTACAGGAGTGTCAATCATCTCAGAATTTATTTTTTAGCATACATACCTCTGTGAACCAATGGTGGATAGTGGTGTTAAGGTCTTCTTTCCAGCGTCTTTTCCCATTTTCCACTGTCACCGATTTTAGAAATGGGGCAATAATGATTCCAGATGAGAAATTTTGCATTTTGGGGCATCCTATCACTTCCAACGTCACCAAAGAGGGGAATATGAAGGTGTGTTTCCCAGAGCAAAAGCTTTTGAAACTTGATAGACAAGTTAGTTCCAAATGCCACAAGCTTTCAAATATGATTTCTTCTTCCAATCTTCCTTCGTTAGTCATCACAACCTCCTCTAGCATTCCACAATTGCTAACTAATAAGCCTGTGAGGTGGACGAGACTTTTAGCCATGAAAGGTGTCATGAAGTACATCAAGTCATTGCAATCCTCTACTTGCAAGGTGGTTAAACTTGCAAAAGATGTCGAAGGTGGTGCCAATCTTCTTAACTTAGAACATTGCGCTATACACATTTTTTCAAGGTTTTGAACCAGGGGATGTGACGTTGAGTTGTCATCATTCCATATATGCTCAAGCTTCTCCAATTGAAATAGCCACAATATTTTAATTTGGGTGGGGCTTCCAATACAACAATGATTAATTTCTTCCGAATGAAAGAGTGTTTCAAAAGAACTGCAACGCACTTGTAGTGTGTTTATAGCTGAAAATATTTGGATTAAATCATTCAGAAACTTTATTGGAGTTCCCTGAAAATATTGCAAATGAAGCGTTTTGATGCTCTGAAAGAGATTTTTCTCATAGTTGCCATTCAATATCCTCAAAGTGTCCTTTTCATTTAATGGCAACTTCTCCAAATTTTGAGACACCTGAAAAAGAGAAAATATTATTTGTTTCTTTCATCATATAATCTACTAATAAGTGAACATAAAACAATTTTTTATACTTTTACAAACCACATACATAATTATAGTTTTCCTCAGCCATGCATCTTTTTGTCTGGAGAAAAAAAATGTAATTAAACACAGATAGAAGAAATAATAATAAAAAAAAAAAAAGGATGCATACCTTTTCAATATAAAACAAAGCTTGTTCAATGTCACCCTCCCTAAGCTGCTGGGGATTCAAATGGTCAAATGAAAATATCTGCAATTCTTGACATCCACAAGCATCTAACCACTTCAATGAAGGACACTCTAGAGTATATCTTTTCGGATAGAAATTAGTGAGCCGTGTCAGATTCAATAGGTTCAAGATTGTCAACCGAGGAAAATCAAACTTGAGTTCCTCGAATCCTTCTTCAATTGAAACAATCTCCTCAACACCACACGACTCAATGTGAAGCTCTTCAAGTCGCCTCAAGCCTTGGCATAGTGAGACCGAAAACAAACATTTCAGGCGTTGGCATTCATCAACTTTCACAATTTGTAAATTTTCAAAGCTGATTATTTCACCTGCTTCTCTGTTCCATATGCATTTCAAATTTGGAAGCCCCGAGAGTGTTAATTTCTTCAACCGACTAACTTCCTTTGATTCTATTCCTTTCTCATCCAATGCATTTACATCAAATACCACTTCTAACGAATCACACTCTGATACTTCCAGTTCCTCTAATTTATGTAACAATCGCAGTAAATTTGATGAAAAAATCACGTTGGACAAGAATGTACATTTTCGCACCACCAGATGCTTCAAATTGCGGAATATATTTGGCCCATCTTGGCCATACCATAGTTCTTTCAGTTCTGGATATACAGAAAATTCCAAAAGAGTGAAGCCACTAAATGCCACCTATGCAAATAATTATCAAGGTAAGGGAAAACACAATAAGGGCACCGAATCAAATTAAACAATAAAATTTTGTTACTTTCAGTTAATACAATTAATACTATTCAATCAAAGTATGAACTCACAATTATGTTGGCAGAAACAAAAATGAAAAAAATATCTAATTCAAAACTAAACACAGCCTCATCTTTATTTCGTTAATGCTTTTACAGCGATGGCGCCAATATATGATTCTGGACTTCATGAGAAATTTGTATTTTTCAATTCATCTAAAAGTTAAGATATATCCAAACAGATACGCCGAGAAAAAGGACGAGTGAATAATAAAGGCTAATAAAAGCCATACAATCATGAAAATAAATATTTACAATAAAAATTAAAGATATTTTCACAATCATTTTTCTTTTTACACAAACAATTGGCTTTTCTGACAGTTTGTTTATATCATTTTGTCATCGTAGGGGAATAAAGAATGATTTTTTAGTGAAATCAAAACATACCTTGTCCACAAACATCTTCTTTATTGTCTTATTCAGATCACCTTCCCAATACACGTTTCCATCATCTTCTTTTGATGATATCTTTCGAAGCTTTGGTGTGCTTGTGTCTCTCCCGGCTGAGAAGGTGTTCATTCTTGGGCATTGCTCAATGACAACTTCTTTTAACAACGGAAAGTTTAAGAAGTAATTGGAGCAGCAAAACCTCTTGATCATTGGCAAACACTTGAGCTGCAAAATTTCTAAGCTTCTAAATGCAATTTCATCTTCAGATCCCTCCCTCTCTTCTGCCACAACTTGCTCAAGTGAATTGCATTTCGTTATTTTCATTGTTGTTAATTTGGCCAGGCTTCTTGCAGTTGATGAGGTAATTAAGTGAAGCAATCCATTGCAATTTTCAACCTCCAAATCTGTCAGGTGATGGAAAGTTGCAGAGGAGGGCGCTAAGTGTTTCAAATTGGAACAATTATAGATCCATAAGTATTCAAGAACTTCTAGGACTGGATCTATTCGAAATCCTTCTTTACATATATGCTGGAGATCATCCAAGCGACTGAGTGTCAATGTTTTAAGTCGTGCTCCAGTTTTGGATTTTCCTTTGTCATCTATAGGTATTTCTTCTTTGAATATCTCCCTGAAAGAACTCCATTCAACAAGTAGATCATCGACGGTGGTTATGTTTTGGAGAAACCAATAGGGAAAATTGGCATGATCATCCTTAAAATTTGCCAAATAAAGAGATTTGAGTTTGTTGAGGTGTTTTCGTGAAAAGTGCCCTTGTAATATCATGCTTGCATCCTCATTATTTAGGGCCAACGTCTCCAAGTTGCAAATTACCTGTATATAGCATAAACGAAAAAGCATTGGATCCAAAGCTATATAACTAAGCAGATGCAATAGCGAGGCAAGAAGCGAGTAACGAATGCACGCATAATAAAACCTGATTAACTTTTTTGAATATATAAAATTAATATGCTTGCATTGAGATATTTATGGTGCCTAAATAAATTAAGGTTTTTATATAATAATTCTTATACCTCTTCAAGTGCAAAAAGAGGCTGCCGCATTGAGATTTGGAGTTTACTATGAAAAGCTTTTTCTCTGCCACTCGAACTTTGTGTCTTGAAGAGCCTCAGTTTCCTACATTGACGAATATCTATTTCCCTCAATAATGGATGTAGTAAACTATGATTTCCAGCAAAAAATCCGTCCAGTTGAAATAAATACCAAAACACCAATGAGGTCAAATGATTAAACGCAAATTTGACTGGACTATCCATGGGTCCTTCGCCTGGAACAATATATTTCAAACTCCGTGCATACTTTATGGAAATACTTTCCAGTTGAGTAGCATGCATTGCAATGGAGAATGGAAAAAGGTATTTCAAGTCCTCACAGTCTTCAACCCACACAAGTTGCAGGTTATGGAAACGAAGGCTTTCTTGAGCATCTTCACTCCAAATCTGTTTCAGCTTTGGCAAGTGAAACAGATGGAGTTTCTTCAATTGTGAGACTTGTTGTGTCGTTGTTTCCTCTTCATTGTGGATTTCTTTGACAGTTAGTTCGAATATCTCTTCCACTGAACTACAATGGCTGACCTTCAATGTCTCAAGGCTTCCAAACGTTCCCTGCATATCAGATTGGAAAATATTCGCAAGTTTCCCGCAATTGCTCACCTCCAAACTCTTTAACCTACCAAATTGAAAGTGCCATACTTTCTTCAAGCTTTCCATGTCTTTAACTACCATGGTCTCCAATTTTGAGAATCGGACCTGTGATGCAAAGCACAATTTACAAATCCATAATAAGCAACATTATATATGAATGATATTGAAGAAAACTTCACGAGGAAATGTTTGATGTTATCGACTTAACATTTATTTCAAGTCTAGTCGTAATACCTCTTGTGACGCAATGCTGTTTGGAGCAATGATCTCCTCCATCATCTCACATTTGCTTATTTCAAGGTGTTTAAGTTTTAAAAGACTTTCAATCACAGAAGATGAGAATAAGTACTTGAGGCCTCTGCAATCTTCAACTATCAAGTTAGCCAAATTGTGAATACAATTAGCTACAGAAAGGTCATCATCATCCCAAATTTTGTCCAAATTAATTGAGCTCAACTTGAGGGTCTCCAAACTAGAAAATTTAACCTGGGATTAATAAACAAAAAATATTTGTAAATTGTAGAGATGAACTTGCAAATTGTCAAAAGCAAATATTATTGAATTATCATATTTAAGGGCTATTGAAACTGTTAAAGACAAATCAAAATATAAAAATTGAGCACTGAAAATACCAAAAAAAGGAAATGACAAAAAAATTAACTCAGGAAATACTTTAAAGGCAAAATTATGCCAAAAAATTATTTTAAAATATTAGTTGCTACTGAGAAAATGCTTTAGGATGGTAAATGCAACTCAACGGACATTTTGAAGATTTAATAGTGATTTTAAAATTGCATTATTTAATTGCACCAAAATTTAAACATTATACTCAATTTCATCAAAATTAAAATAAAATATATATAAACAAATAATTGTTGACATCTACTTCTAGATATTATACTCAAGTTCATTTTAAAAATTACCATACATACATTATTAGTGTGATAGCCACATATGACGCAATCAGTTGATTTAACTTGCAGACAAAGAGATGAAAGAAGAAGAAGAAGAAGAAGCACACCTTAGTGCCATTAAACAACGGTGTGGTTGTCATGCAAGATGTGTACTCATTTGAGCAGAAATCATGAATGAGTGGCAGATGACTGAGAGTCAAGGAGCGTAGTGAATGAAACTCAATCTTATCATCAGTAGTTATGTCACTTTCCACATTTTCAATCAGCACAATCCTTTTCATTGAATTGCAGTTGGAAACTTGAATCTCGGAAAGTTGAGAAAGAGCTTTCACCATTAAAATAGAGTAGAGATATTCCAATTGGTCACAACTTTTGACTTTGATGACTGTGAGTTTGCCAAAGGAATTAAGAGGAAGTGGGCCATGACATATCTTCACTAAGTTATTGAGATTATGAAGTATGAGGGTCTCCAATTCTGGAAATAAACCAAGATAAGTCTTATTATTCCTCTCCATGGTGTTGATAATATGTTGAGCTTGGCCATTATTTTGGATATGGAGATGCTTTAGTACTGGAAATCCTTCGCCATTCAAATCAAAAAGCACATCCGAAATTCCATTGACTTCATCTAAGTACAAATCTTCCACTCGTTTAATCAACGCTTTAATACCATGTTCCAAACGAATGCTAGTCTGAAGCTTTAACTTTAGTAACCTTGAGGTCGTTTTGTCGCTTGACCATTCCCATTTATCTCCAATGATAACCTTGTATCCCTCTAACTTATTAAGCATCATGTCTGACAAAATCCAGGCCTCACGAATTTGAATTTCTAAAGTAGTCAAACTTGTCAAACACACAAGCTCAGCAAGACTAGCACATTTGTTTTCCTCAGTTGAACTTTCCTCCTCCCACTTCATTGAGGCATTGCCCATATAAAGTTCCTCTATTTTAGTCAATTTGGACAAAATGTTGGGGGGGATGAAGTTAATTCTAGAATTGCTCAGATCCAATATTTTTATATGAGTCAATTGTCCTATTTCTCTTGGAAACTCCTCCATGTATGAATCAAAGAAACTAAGAATTTCTAAATTTATCAAGGCACCTATTCCAGCCATATGCTTCAAGGTGCATTGATCTAAACACAATGTTTTAAGTTTGGTCAGGAAAACAAGAGATCTAGGCAATGAAGACATTATCAAGCCTCTCAAATCTAATGCTTCAAGGTTTCGCATTCCCTCAAAAAAATTGTCTGGAATTTCCATAGTGCAAGTATCAGTGTAATGTAAGAGGAAAAATTTCAAAGTGGGGCAGTTTAACTTTTGAGGAAGTTCTTGAATATAACATGGTTTTAAGACTACCTGGGTACATGTTTCAAGAAAACCCTTGCTCGACCAATATTCTTGCACCCTATCATCATTTCTTTTCAACACAAAAACATTTTTTTTCCTAGCAATTGAAAGAGCTACTTCGCGAACAAGATCATGCATTTTAATTGCATCGGTCTCGCTTGCATCATCCTCAAGTAACAAACAAGATGTCCTCAAGTCATGAATTATTCTGTGTAGTCGATTTCTTGCATCTTCAATAGTACCATTTTGTTTCAGAAAACTCAAGCCAATTACATATTTCAACAATTCATTCACTGACATGGATGGTCCATATGCACCACAAAGCAAGAATACGTTCTTCATTTCATCATCTTTAAGCCTTTCATAAGTAAATTCAAAAGCCGAAAAAACATTTCTGTGCAATGCATCTCCGTTACCAACTCCCTCTAAGCTTCTCAAGGCAGCTTTCCAATAATGAATATCCTTATTATATTTTAATGACTTTGCAATTGAGACTATCATAACTGGCAAACCTACACATCTTTCAACCACTTGAGTTGCTATCTCCTTCAATTCACCATCTTTAATAGTATCACCAACCATATCTTCAAACAAACTCCATGATTCTGTATCATTTACTATTTCAAGATGAAAATCCTTTTGAATCTCATTCTCATGGAGAATATCTAACCGTCTAGAAGTCAACAATAATTTGCAACCTTGACAAGTCTCATTCTTCTGTGAAATATCTGAATGTTGAGAAGTCAATGATGATTTGCCACCCTTAATATCCTGCTCAAAGGGAATCCCCAACTTGTCCAAATCAATTTTCTCCCATAGATCATCTAGTATGATAAGGATATTTTTCTCTGTTTTTATCCTTGCACATAGGCGGTCGGCTCTTCCAATTGTGGTATTCTCATTCAAGTGGAAGCCTAATTGATATGCAATCTCATCTTGAACTTTTTCGACATCTAATGTTTCAGATATAGTTGCCATAGCCACCACATCAAATAGCTTTTCATCCTTGACATGTTTGGCAATATCTTTAACTAGAGTGGTCTTCCCAACTCCGCCCCACCCATAAATTCCCACTTTGCTTACTTTAGGGTCCATTAGAGACAATATAACCTCCTTCTTCAATGAATTTCTTGACTCAAGCTTTTCACTGGCTCGAGTAGCCAAAATTAAGCTTGCCATGCTAGATGCAGGGACATACCCAACTCGACCCTCAAACTTCCCCTTTTCCTTTATTTCAGCAACGTTGAATGCCATTTTCTTTGCTCTTCTACCAAGTTGATGTCTGGATTTCAAGTTAGGAAAAGACCATTTCCAGCACCGTACATTAGCTTGAGTTTGATCTTCACAAAGTTTTTCTACTTCTCCCATGGTCTTATCAACTCTTTCTTGCCATCTTTTTACATCAGCTTCAATCTCTCTGCCACTGCTTCTTTCTGCTTCAACAAGATGCTCGTTGCGAATTCTCTCTGTCTTCAACTCCTCAATTTTATCCTTTAGCTCCTTAAAATTTTCTTTGTAAAATAACAAATATCCCACTTGCCTTCCAATAGGTATCACAGTTAGCTCAGATATTTTACTAGCAATAGCAGCGAGAATTTCCATTGTTACTTCCTGAATAAAATGGCAAGAAAGTTATTTGTTGGATGAACAGAAGGCATAACAGATCAAAAGATAATCCCCCTAGGGAAAAAAAAGGACGTACACACAATCACTTGGAGTTCTAAATTGACTATAAAAAACGGATGTAACTTACTCGCGTAAAATAAATTAAAAAAAAAAAAGACATGAGTGAGTGGTAGTATAGGAAAATGAGGGAGATGGAAGGGTGGAGGGTGGAGACAGGTGGAATCGTTGATCATCAAAATACGGTGATGGCAAAACAACATCTTCAACAGCCAGTAACATCGCGTCAAAAAATGGCAATCAATCTAGCTTTTATCATCCTTTTCCTTCCTCATTCTGAAAATATCTATGAATTTATTTAAAAAAAAAAAATCTCCCCATTTGACGGTAACTATCGAATAGTTGAGATTTGATTGGAGGGAACATGATGCCTTGGCTAGGCGCAATTTAGTATTTGTACCGTTATATTTTTTCCCTTGTTTTTCTTTTTATTGTGTTCTTATAGTTCCATATAATTTTTAATTAGCTCACTGAAGTTTTTTTATTCTTTATTCTATGAATTCTAATAAAATTCTTCTATAAATATAAGAGATAATACTATTAATTTCAATATCATTTAATAATATTCTATAAATAATAAATTATTATAATAATTGATTTTAATATTCTTTTAAAATTTTGAATTAAACATATATTTATATTATTTATTTTATAAATTATAATTTTTATTTATTTTGAATTATAAAATTTGAGTGGTAATAATGAAATTTTGTAAATCATTTATAATTAATTCTATTATTTTTTATAAATATATAATTATTAATTCAAACTTTATCTCAATATTTTTTTAATTAATTTTAAATTAATAAATTTAAAAAAAATACAATAGGTGTAACTGTTGAGTTCTATGATGGCGAACTCAATAGAGTCACTTATAACAATCCGTTGCTGTAAAAAAATATACTAGACGTGTTCAATTGGATGAATTAGACCTGGTTAAAAATTATTTTGGACTATAAGGAGTTGCATATTCATTGTACCTTTAAGAAAATGGTTTGGCGACTCAATTAACATAAAATTTTTTGGGATCCAAGAAATCGTTGATCAAATCCCACATTGACTAATTTTTTCACCAAAAAGAAATTCCTACCACTAGGGTGGCCGGCGACGTCTTAGCGAGGGGGGCTAGCTGACTTTTTTTTTTTTTAAATAAGTAAAGAATAATATTATAAAAGCACACAAACTATTTATAATTCTATTTAAATACATGGCAACTAAGTAGGTTTTGGAAATTCAGGAAACATTATTGATTTATTGATATTTTGAGGTTCTTTTTTTTTTTTTTGTATTTTTCCTTGAAATTTTATATATGATTATCCCAAAAGAAATCTACAAAGAAAGGACCTTACAACTTTTTTTGGGTCTTGTCCGAATGAGATGGCAGAAGTCCCCTTAGATTTCTTCTTTCTCTTTTCTTTCCACAATCTCTTCTCCACTATTAAATAAAAAATGAATGGTTCAGATTATTATTATAATATTATATAAATACAAGAGAGTGGGTAAATATCTATTTTTTAAAATATTAAATATAAATCATCTATTTTTTTTGATTCAATAGTGGTGATGAATTTCTAAGAGGAAAATTAGAGGAAGGGAATACAGCCCAAAAAAGATTGGCACAAAAATTGTGTCATTAGCCCGCAATTCTTTGATTTTTTGGTGAAATTTTTTTTAAAAAAAGGGTCAGGCTTACCCATAATGTAAGGGCAGGACTAACTCTTGACCCCAACTCCACGCAACGTCGTAGCTTAAACTAGGACAAACTTGCTTTTTTACAATCTGGAAGCCTTAGTTTTGAAAATGCCTCCTTTGCGTCATGACATGATCCAGGATCAAACCCGTTCCCTTAGTGAGTGTGTCTGACCCCTTCACCTATTGAATCCATGAATAAAGAGTGTCATTAGCCCACACTTCTTTTGAGCCAAGACATTGGCCCACAATCAATAAAAAATTTTGAAAGGGTTTAAACGCCCCAATAGGTTATACTCTATTTGTTGCCTCAATAAGCCTAAATTAATCCAAAATGATGCTAGATCTAAACAAATCCCTTCATTTGTTGGTATAAAAATTTTAGGTAGGGGTTCAGACTCAACCCAAATCAAAAGAGGAATTGAAATGGTGAGGTTCTTACTGCACAGATAATAAGTAAATAAAGTTAATAATTTAGGTCAAATCAAACAAGCCAACTCAAAGAAGCCCAAAAGACTTTAGGGCCAACATAAAATTGACTTTTTTCAGGCTATTAAATAGGTCCGCAGAAATTTTAGCGAAGCCCATTTGGGTTCAAACTAACCCAAATGCCTGAGCGCAATTGCTTTCCATATTAAAATTTAAATACTCAAAATTTAAAATTTTCATTTAATGAGCATCCCCAAATGAAAGTTCAGGTTGTAGATTGAGGCATTTTAGGAAATTTTTATTTTCGCAGTTTATGTTTAATTAGTGTCCAATTTGAATTGAATCTTTCTGTGACTAAAACGCGTTGGCTTATGCTAACTTTAGTAGTGTTCTGCAAGTTGTAATTAAATGGGAGGTTGTTATTAATTCTTATCACCGACTTATTAATAAGAAGCGGTATCTAATGAAGTTTACACTAAAAAAAAGGGGGATTAGTGATGGAATTTTATTCCGTTGTTTATCCGTCACTAATCCCTTACAAATTCCATTATTAAAATTAGTGACGAAATTTAGTAATAAAAAATTTTCGTTGCTAAATTAGTGACGGATTAGTGATGAAATTTTATTTCATCACTAAACTAGTGACGGATTAGTGACGGAATTTTATTCAGTCACTAAATTCTGTCACAAGTCCCTCATTAATTTTGTTTTAAATGATTAGTGACGAAAAAATCAATCACTAACTCCCATTTTGTGAAAGAAATTAGTAACGGAATTTTTTTATCAGTAATTTTCATCACAATTCTGTCACTAATCCATTGCAAAAAATATAACATAAATATATAATAACTATTTTTTAAACTTATTGTTTAAATAAAAATATAATATATCACAATTTTTGAATAATATATTATATGAAAATAAAATTAAAAAATTATAAAAGAAAATAAACATAAAAATATATAATATACTTATTATTTCGTTAAATATTTGAATAAAAATATAAATTATTAGAAATTTTTTTACCAAAATATAAAAATTAAATTCAAATAAATGATAATATATTAAATTATATAATATATATTAAATTATTTATATAATATGTATTATATATATTTGTCTTTGTTATTAGAAATATAATATACACTTATTTTTGTATAAAAATTTCACAGGTGCTTCTTGGCTCAACTAGTAAAGGTTTCAACACGCGTGTAGGAGTTCTCAGAGCCAACAGTTCTTCACAAATTATGCCAATTCGTGACGTGGTGATGATGTGGATAAGGTGATGACATGGTGACTCATAATGATGGACACATGGTGATAGCGTGGACGTTGGAATAACGTGGCTGCTTGAGAGAGAGGAGTTGAGGTGGTAGTCGGTGATGACATGGCGACTCATAATGATGGACATGTGGTGATAGCATGGATGTTGGGATGACGTGGCTATTTGAGAGGAGTTGGTAATCAGGTGGCGATGATGTGAATGAGGGGATGACATGGCGGTATGAGAGAGAGAGAAAGAGAGAGGAGAATGTGAGGTGGCAATCGCAAACATGACACGTGACGGTAATCAATAGTTGCTATGTGATATTTTATATTTACAAAATAAAAAAATTTAGCGACAGATTAGTGATAGAAAATTTCTATCACTAATTTCTGTCAGTAACCGATCTCTAATTAACGATGGAATTTTGAATTCCATCACATATTATTCAGTGACGAAAGAATTAGTGATGGAAAAAATTCCATCACTAACTAAATTCCGTCGCTAATTTTGATTATTGACGGAAATCCTGTCACTAAACTCTGTTGCTAATTTGATTTTTTTTTTGTAGTGTTAACACTCGAAGAAAAATAGATGCCACTGCCTTATAAAAATAATATTGAGAGAAACAATAAAAAGAAAGTAAAAGTTAAATTATATAAACACACAAACACACACCGCTTACCCAAACTGGATGAGAGAAGAGATATCGTGGTTGCTGTTCCCAGCTCGAGGTTTGAGGATCCAAGTTCTTCTGTGATTTGGGAAGAAACAGATTCATTATCCAATTCATAGCCTTAATTATTAATTATTTTATCTAGTTTTAACCAGCCCAACTTCTGAACTACTCAGATGAAGCAGACACTTCCAAAATTTCCGAGGCAAATATTTTTCTTTTGAGATTTTTATACAGGATTCACATCAATGAAAAACGACAAGCTTTGCTCAAACGAGACACCAACTTTTTTTTCCTAAAGAAAAAACAATATTATCTGTGAAATTAACAGGAAGTAAAGAAAAACGTCGAAGGGAATTTTTTTTTTTAAAAGAATTTTTATGTGCAGATGATTGAAAAGAAAACGACAAAGCTAATGAAGGAAAATGACTCTCTCTTTTGTTCTTTTGCAAAGAAGCTTGTAAGTTGAAAGCAGCAAAACAAGTTTGATCTGAAAACTGTGAAGAACAAGGAATTGAATGAACTAGAAGTCAGGACTTTCTAGGAAATGAATGTTTGATTTGGAATGATTTCTTCTAGAACTTGAAAGAAACAGAAGAACAGGTTTCAAAAACAGAGAGTTCTGATAAAAAGTTTGAGAATATCATATGCTCTTCCCTTTTCAGAGTTTTTTGTAAAGATCGATCGCAATGAAAAGCAGCAAACTTGTTATAATATAATCAAGAAAATTAACAGAAAGAAAAAGAATGTTCAAACGATTTACCAGCAAGTGGATGAGGGGCGAAGTGTGGTTGTCGTTCCTGGCTTGAGGTCTGAGAATGTTCTGTGACTGAGAAGAAACGGACCAAGTATTCAATTCCTAGCATTTATTATTAATTATTTTATCCAAAAACCTGAAACTATCAAGAGGCAGAATTTACCAGCTCATTCTATTGATCAGCACAACTTCTATCTCACCTCCATAATCTCCAACACAAAGCTTTTTTTTTCCCTTGAGATTTTTATATATACAAGATTGATCACAATGAAAAACAACAGACTTTGTTCAAACCAGACGCCAGCTTTTTTCAGGGGAAAACAAATTTACATGTATACTTAAAAGGAAGGGGGGGAAACCTTTGAAGGGATTTTATTTTTATTTTTATGGGCACACGATTGACAAGAAGACGAACAAAGTTAATGCAGGAGAATGGCTTTTTTTTTCCTTTATAAGCAGCCAGTATGTGGAAAACAGCGAAACAAGTTTGATCTGAAAACTGGGAAGAACAAGAAGTAATTAATACAGAGACATGTGGTAGAAACAAGAACTAGAAGACTTCTTACGAAATGAATGTTTGATTTGGATTGATTTCTTCTGAAACTTGAAGGAAACAGAAGAACAAATTTGAAAAACAGGCAGTGCTGATAAAAGGCTTGAGAAATAGGAAGTAATGAATATCTGATGGTTTCCAACTAAAGAAGAGGACGAGGAAAGAGAAAGACGGATAAGAGATGATACGAGGAAAAAAGAGGGGAAAAAAAATAGGATTCAAGAAAAAAATTGTTATGATTTTAAATTTTTGAAATAAATTTGTACAAAAAAATAGTGACCATGTGATAGGGCCTTCTTTTTTGACCTTGTTTGTGATGTGTTTCTGCCTTTTTCAGAAGTTTTGAAAACGCATCATGGCGATGGGGAATGTGAAAGTCGTTGTCATTTCTCACACATATATCTATATATTCAGAATACTAAAATCTTTCAATATTATCTCATTTTCATATTACATATGTAATACTATAAGTATTCTTTTAAAAATTAATTTTTAATAAATTTTATTAGTGTGGACTAATTAAGAATGTATTTTTGATATAGAAAACTGAAAAACGCTTTCTGAGAATTAAAGTGAAAAATGAAACAATAAAAAAAATTACTACAACGTTTTTTATGCCTCCTCTTTATTAGTGGCCGACAATTCTTTTATCCAGAATAGCGGTGTTACTGATTGAAAGTTTAGACTAATAATAGTGGTGTTACTGATTGAATAATGATTTATTATTTAATTTAATTAGTACGGATTAATGTATGGTAGGTAGGGATGAAAATAGAATGAGTTGGTAAACTCTGAGTCTGAGTATGCATATAGACTTTTTTTTAGACTTGAACTTAAGTCTTCAAAAAGCCTGAAATAAACTTTAAACCCATTTAGAAGACTAGATTATAAAAGTCTAGAATCTATTCTCACTTATAATATAAGAGCTTAGTAAAGGGAAAAAAAAAAAAGAATAATAACAACAGTTGTCCGAGCAACTAAGAATAAGAAAAACTAATTGGAATGCAACCAAACTATGGCAAGTGGAATGCAAAATTGGATTTTACCTTCTTCGGTTTTAGCACCGAAACTATGGCAAATTCTTCCTACTAAAATTATAATATTTCATTTAGGCCTTACTAAAATAAACTTCCAACAATTCTTATGCTTCAGCGAATAACGCATGTAATGGGAGAGTGAGTAAGCTAACAATACCTTTGTCAGTGATAAAATAGAAGAGATGTAGCCGTGAATGATTGATAAATAAAGGGTTGATCTTATGTATGAATGTTATGGTGTGAACCGCAGGATAAAGCCAAAATTAGTAATGTTATAAATAATTTATAAAATTGATTTGTATTGTATTATATATAATAGTGCAAATTAAAAATAATTAAATAGGTCAGACATATAAGCTTGTAGGTTAGGCCTTATGAAAATTGGTCTGACTTATTTGTCTAAATATGCATGAAAATAGACTTAAATATGAACCTGGTCTATTTACTAAATGGTCTGGGTTGGGTTTTAAGTAAGCTAGGATATAGACTCTATATAGAGACCTAGCTTATTTCTCTCTCTAACTAGAAAAGATATATAGAGAGAGAGAGTAAACTAGTGAAGATACAGATTTATTGCCCTCATAGTAAATATGAATTACAATTGATTCTTTTTTTTATATAAGATATGATTTATTTTTATTTACGAATTTAATATACTTTTTTTATTTTTATTCCCAATTAATTACGTTTTTTTTTTGTCTCATTCTCTACTTATTCTCTATTTCTCTTTGTAAATAAGAGTATGTCTGAAAAACGATTATATTTTCTTTTATACGTTTATTGTTTCTAAAAAATCTCCACCAATTTTTTAATCTACATTATTTGTAAGGATATATAAGATGGGAGGGAGTAATAAGTAAGTCATAAATTAATGATCATTTCAATGATTTGGTTGAATAATGATCAAGTTTGTTTTCTGTACATAGATGTTTTGTGCGGCTCACATCTCGTAACCTATTATCTATAACCTATTATCTATAATTGAATCACAGTTTCAGTTGTTCTCTTCTCTGTGCGTAGATATTTTAGAGATCGATGCTGATTTTATTCAGTTCTTTTATTATTTTTCTTGACTGCAAGAAAAATTAAGGCCATGTTTGGATCTAAGGTGGAAAAATTGAGTTGTAATGAAATTATGAAAGTAGTTTATAACATTAATTTTTTTAAAATATAATTAAACTTTTTATCTTAGTTTCCTTTCAAATCTGCAACTTGAAAGAAGCTTGTTCCAATGAAATGGTCCTAAAATATTTTCAAATCAGATATTGGAATTTAATAACTATTATTATTTTGATTTTACATATTAACTTTTAAATTCTTTTTGGGGCAAATATAGTTTTAAAAAAAATGGCTTCCTGCCTTCAGACCTTCTGAGATACTATCTCCGGTCCTTAATATAATATCTAAATAACTAATTTAAAAATATTAAAAATATTAGCTAAATTATTTAATTGTAACAAATGTGTATTAAACCCCGTAAACCAATATGCATTAAAAGTATCTTTTGATAAAATATTTATAATCAATAAAGATATTTTAGAGAAAATATTATAAATTTGATAAGTGGATTGAGTTCTTATATTTAGAGTTAATTCAACTAGCTTTTGTATTAACGACTAGAAACAGTAAAATCAAATCAAAGAAAAAATTTACTCTCTGCCTCCAGCTTGTAAAGAACCTGACATAAATTCTAGCATTGCTGATGCAATTATTGTGAATCCCCCAGCACATACGGCATGTTTTTTCTTTTGTCAGTAACATTTTGATATGATGGGTCAAATTTGTGCAATTTAATTTTCCTCTCATGTTGTCCCTCTGATATGTTGGTTGGAGATAATGGAGGAAAGGAATGAAACAAACAAAATTGATTATCGAAGGACTCAATGATTACATAACACTGACTCCTCAACATCTATTTGACTATAATCACCGAAAGATATTTAGGCCACTTACTTTTTGCATTCGTTATGTTAACTATTTTCTTAGCCTGCAAGACTTAACTAAGTTATTTAACTCTTTCGTATTCTATGTCACACCGTAATCCTAGTTGAAACTGGATACAAGCTGGTGCAATTATCTCGCGTGGGTTACAGGACCATGGTGTAAATCTGCTCAATGATTGGGAGAAGAATGTAATTATGAACTGGAAAAAGATCTAAAAAATGACGCATTCTTCAAATAATCAAATGTCATCATGATCTTCAAATACCAGTCCAAGTTTTTCGCACGCAATTCCTTCTCTAAAGTGTATGAAAACTGACCAGATATTCTACATTGACTGTTAGCCCCATTGGTTTTATTTTTATTCACATCCCCGTTTGTTATTGGGAAGGTATGAAAGGCAATTCTACTTGTGGCAGAGGCACTGAAAATGCCAATACATTTTTTTTTTTCCTTGCACAATGTCATGGACGCAAGTCCCATTTTGGTAGTGTAATCTTCTTTAACATTTTCTTGTCCACGTATTTTAACTGGAAACGAGTCATGCATAACTATTTCAGCTTTCATATAAGATTGTTGACTTATTGATTTGGCTGGGGAATACGAGACATCTGATGAAGTTTCATGTCATAGAAGTTCGTTGTCCATGATTCTCCTTTTTTTTTTTTTAATAAATCTTAATTTTCTGTTGTTGTTCTTTGGTGCCAAATGAAAACACACTTTGTGCTACAATACTTAACAGACAGAACTGCTGCATCAGATAAAAACAAATGACAGATTATTATTAATGTGCATTAGACAAACCACAAAAGCAACATACAAAAGTAAATATATAGTGCTGAAAAAGAAAATGTCAAGCAACAACACTAAGAAAGAGGAAGCAAATACTTTTTAATGTCTTGTATTAAGCCAGTCAAGCAATGAGATCTATGAGTGGACTTCACGACTCAATAAAATCATTGAGCCTGCTTGCCTCGTCTCGCAATGAGACTAAGGATGCCTCAGCAGAAGCTAACTCATTTCTAAGAGTGAAAACTTTGGCTTCAGTCTCCTCAAGCTTTCTCATGAGCTCATCTCCATCACCATAGCTCTCAATGCAGCCATATACATAACTGAGCCAAGAAGCATCAAAACCAACTGCTGCCAATGCAGTACAGCACTCTCTGATATAGTTTCGATCATCCTCTGTCAAGTCGCGTCTCCTAGTAGTCCTCAAAATGCTAGTGACTTCGGTGAATAAGGCTGCGAATGCTCTTCGTCGCTTTGTATTGAACCAATCAAGCACTTGAGGATGACGCTTCAACCCAGCCTCCAAATATGGCAAGTTTTGTTTGGAAATGTCAATCAACCATCTGTCACTATAAGCATTCAATTCCAGTATTGGTGAAGTCATAGTTCCTGGAGCTTTTGAAGGTGATGGATCTATTGCTGCTTGAAATTAAAAAATAGAATAAGTCAAGTCTTGGAAAAATAAAATAGAATATTCTCTTGCTAAAATAAACATCAATCTATGTTAAGTTAGCTGGATCTTGCAAAACAATGCGTATGTTTTGAGTTGTTGGACTAGAAGGCTTCTTGATGTGTTACACATCTTTTGAGTTTCAATATATGAATCATGTCTTGTAGTAGATTTTTATTAACACCGTGATAGATTTATCAGTTCATCCAAAGAACATTACCCAAAAAAAAAAGAAAAAGATACAAAACAGGATATGAACCTTTGTTTTGTGCTGTGACATGTTTCTCTGCATCTTGGTCAGCCTGAATCAAGGATTTGTCCATGGTGTCATGAATCTTATGAGTTCCAATAGCTTAAAGAACAATAAAAAAATTATGAGACGAGTTTTTTCAAAATAAAAATAAATTATTACTTCTTTCTGAAGAGAAATAAATCCATTACTTTCTTTGTCGTCACTAGTTATAAAAGTTTCAGGTTGGTTGAACAAATGCTCTCTGGGACAAGTTTTTGACTCATGTGGTCCTTCTAGCAAATTTCAGTTAACATGATAGGAAGTCAAAATCATTAATCAATTAAGCAAGAGTATCAAACAAACATCAATCAGAACAAAATGAGAACCTATGTCCTGTACTGTAGTTGGTCTCTGTGCTTTCTGGATAGTTTGAATTAAGGGCTTCTCAACAGTCTCATTCACCTCTGGAGTCAAAAGCCAAACAAGCAAGACATAAAATGTTGTAAAGAAAACGTAAAAAATGCTTCCAAAAGTTAGAAGACAAGTCATTTTGAGGCCTTCTTCTCTGGTAAATTTGCGTTGGCATAGTAGAAGGTTATGGTAGTTAATTAAGCAAAGGAATGCTGCAACAACGTCATTTATAACACAAAAAATTCGTTTTAGCCATTTGCGACAAAGTTAAGATAACAAAGTATTAATTTAGTCCTGGCACTAGGTGAATAAATTAAAACATAAAATTAAGTCTAAAATAGTTTTCATGAGACTTTAACATAATCAAAATAATTTCCTTCCCTCTGTATGCGAAAGAAGTGGTAACTTCCTCTTTTGTGAGCAGCAATAATGATGGTCAAGATCTAATTAATCAAATTCTCACCAAATGGGGACTATTAAGTCAGTATTCTTCTGTAGCTGGTTTTATTTCCCATAATAACAAGTAAGAATCATTTCTCCAAATAAATAAAAAAAATATTAAAACTATGATCAGCGAAATAAAAATTTGTTGTTGAACTTTCTGTAGAAAAAAGGTGGTCCGGATGATCAAATTTTCACTTGGATGAATTTCTCTAGAAGTCGTGATTTCTCTCTCTCTCTGTCTCTGTTTTTTCTTAACCAAAAGTTGAGATTTCTCTAATATATCTCAATTCACATATAAAAAAGTAGGGAAAATTAATAATCCAACTGCTATAATGAACATGCATTACCCTATAAGAAAGTAATTGAGATAATCTCTCACATGCTAAAAACAATACCAGTACCTGCATCATAAACTCCTGTGGGGCTAGGAGCAATTTTAGCAGCTTCAACCAATGGCCTTTCAATGTTCTCACCAATCCCTTGAGTCCCCTCAGCTAAACCTATTAGTTTCAACGTAAATACAAATGATCCAGAATTTTAACAAAATAAAATTATATTACTTCTGATGACTGCAAAACAGACACAAAAAGAAAACAAAAGAAAGTAAGAAAAATTACTTTCTTTATCGTTGAAAGTTGTGGCTGGCCTTGACAGACTCATGCTAGATTCAGTCTCCGCGTCTTGTGATTCTTCTAGTGGTTTTCAGTTCCCATAATATATAGGACATTAGAATCATTAATTAATAAAAAAGATTAAAACCTTTGCTTCGAGCAAAGTATAATGACTTGCCTTCCTTTCAAATAAGCAAAAATAAGAGTACTGTAATAAGGTCAAAACCTACATCTAGATGATTTTCACACATCTTGTAAGTGTCAATAACTAAATAAGTGATAAATTTAATGTAGAACTGCATCAGGTTTTAGAAAAAATAATAATAATAAATTTCTTCCTTCTTCCATGTGAAAGAAAGGTATTATGTTCTCTGTGTGGCTAATAATAAAGGTGGTGATTTGATTAAACAATTTGGCACTGAGAGAAGTTTTCTGGTCATGTCAATTACTTTTAGATGATTTCAGGTTATAAAAATCAGAATTCAAAGTACTTCACAAAAAGAAAAACAACATTAATCAAGATAGTGACTATGATAAGAAAGTGTTTTGATGGGCAAAAAAAGAGTATAACAAAGTATCACTAAGCACTCTATTCAACAAGGGGAATCGGTCACTAAATATACCAAAGGATAGTGATAGTGATAAATACCCAAGACACTCAAACCTCTAAAAGAAATGAAGGCGAAAGTTAAAGAAATATTGGTTATTTATGGCAATATGCAAGACAATCTCAATACCTGTATCTTGATTTGTAGAAGGGCTAGAGGCATTTTGAGTAACATGGGCTAGAGGCCTCTCCATACCTGACGAGGCTTGTTCATTCTGCTCTCTGTCGCAAGATTGACTTGGAAGCTTGCGTGTTTCTTGCTTTCCAGTGTTTGTAATCTGATTAGGCTTTGATTGTCCCACTTGCTCTTCAAAGCTTGATGCCTCAGAAGTACTTCTGGTCATTTGATGAATTTGACTACTTTCTATAATATCACTTGATTGTCCTTCTCGAATTGCCTGATTAAGGTAGGCACACATGATTATTATATCTTGACAGAAATACATATATAGTTTTAATATTTGTATCCATATCTTCTTTCGTCTGTATTGTCTAAATTTTGTTCTTTAGATTTTATAGATGGAAGTTGAGACACAAAAGTAAAAAAACAAGAATATCAAAGGAGTGTCAAACATCTTAGAATTTACTTTTTAGCATACATACCTTGTCCGTGAACAAATGCTTGATAGTAGTGTTAAGGTCCCCTTTCCAGCGTTTTCTCCCATTTTCCACCTCCACTAATTTCAGAAATGGGGCAATAATGGTTCCAGATGAGAAATTTTGCATTTTGTGGCATTCTGTCACTTTTAATTTCACCAAAGAGGGGAATATGAAGGTATGTTTCCCAGAGCAAAAGCTTTTGAAACATGATAGACAAGTTAGTTCCAAATCCTTCAAGCTTTCAAATATGATTTCTTCTTCTGATCCCACTTCATTAGTCATCACAATCTCCTCTAGCATCCCACAATTTGTAACTGTTAAGCTTGTGAGGTGGACGAGACTTTTAGCAGTGAAAGGTGTCACGAAGTACATCAAGCCATTGCAATCCTCTACTTCCAAGGTGGTTAAACTTGCAAAAGATGTCAAAGGTGGTGCCAATCTTCTTAACCTAGAGCATTCTATTATGGTCAGATCTTCAAGGTGTGGAACAAGGGTGTCTGATGCTGAGTCATCATTCCATATATGCTGAAGTTGCTCCAATTGATATAGCCACAATTTTTTTATTTGAGTGGGTTTTTTAATATTGAAATGACCAATTTCTGCTGTATGAAAAAGTGTTTCAAAAGAACTCCAACGCACTTGAAGTGTTGTTGCACTTGGGAATCTTTCGAGCAATTCATTTAAAAACTTCACTGGAGTTTCCTGAAAATATTGCAAACGAAGCTTTTCTGTTCTTTGAAAGAGTGTTTTCTCATAACTTCCATTCAATATCCTCATAGCATCCTTTTCATTTAATGATAACTCCTCCAAGTTTTCTGATACCTAAAAGGACAAAATAATATGTTTATTTCCTCATATAATAAATTAACAAGTTAGCAGGCCAGTCAAAGGAAAAAAAAAAAAACACAAGTCAACAGAACCGATTTCTTTGCAAAACACAAGTATAACTATAGTGTATACATTTATTAATCACATATATAATTATAGTACGTGTTTATCAGATTTCCTGAACCATCATTTTGTTTAAAAAGAATTAAATTCCAGTGATATGAGAATTCTGTCTTTCTTATTCCAATAATATGAGATACAGGGACTATACATACATCAAGGGGGAATAAAATGTAATGAAGCCTAATCAATCCTAATAAAGCCTTATCAATCATGACTGATATTTACGCTTAACGCATAATATTCCCACATAAAAACAAATAAATAACTAGAAAAAAGAGTGAATACCTTTCCAATATGAAATAAAGCTTGTTGGATTGGCAAGTCAACACAAGCCCCTCTAAGCTCCTGGTAGTCCAAATTTCCAAATGCAAATATTTGCAACGCTTCACATCGGCCAACATTTAATACCTTCAATGAAGGACATTCTAGAGTATATCTTTTTGGATAGAAATCATTGAGCTGTGTCAAGCGTATTAGCCTAAAGATTCTTAGCAGAGGAAAGTAAAACTTAAGCTCCTCCAATCCTTCTTCATTTGCAACAATTTGCTCAACACCACAAGACTCAATGTTTAGCTCTTCAAGCTGCCTCAAATCTTGGCATAGTGATGGTGAAAACACATATTTCAAGTTTTGGCATTTAGCAACATGCACAACTTGTAAATTCTCAAGGCCGAGTGCTTTTGGAAAGTCTTTGGTCCATATGTATTTTAGATTTGGAAGACCTGACAGGGTTAACTTTTTCAACTGACTAGCTTTGTTCGGATGCATTTCCTTGTCATCCAAGACTTTTACATCAAACACTGCTTCTAAGGAATCACACTCTGTTACTTCTACTTCCTCCAATGTATATAACAATTGCAGTAAATTTGATGTAAAAATTACATTGGTTAAAAATGTACATTTATGGACTGTCAGATGTTTCAAATTGCAGAATATTTTCTGTCCAACTTGGCCATACCATAGCTGTTTCAATTCTGGATATTCTGACAGCTCCAGATATTTGCATCTACTAAATGCCACCTATGCAAATGAATATCAAGGTAAGTGGAAAGACAATAAGGGCATCGAAGCAAATTAAACAACATTTTGCTACTTTCAGTTATTACAACAATTAATACCACTCAAAGTATTAACTGACTCTTGGGTTAGAACAAAATCTAACAAAATTATGGCAAAAAGAAAAAGGATAAAAATATCTAATTTAAACCTAAACACAACCTCCTCTTCATTTTGTTAATGCCTTTACTACTTGTTTGGGAAATTCGTATTTCTCATTGATCTAAAAACAATAAGATACATCCAAATATATACACCAAAGGGAAAAGGCAAGTAAATGAAGGCTAATAAACGCTAATAAAAGCAATAAAATCAGGGAAAAAAAATTAACAACAAAAATTAATGATATTCTCATGATGATTTTTCTATTCACAAACAATTGGTTTTTTTACAGTTTGTTTATAGCATTGTCTTATCGCATGTGGGGAAAATGAATTTTTTTTTAATAAGGAATTATTTTTCCTCTTATGCATGTTAAACGAGGAAAATAAAAGTCGAGTTCCTCTAATCCTTCTTCAATGGAAACAATTTCCTCAACACCACAAGGTCAAGACTCAATGTGAAGGTCTTCAAGTCGCCTCAAGTCTCCACTTTCACAATCTGTAAATTTTCAAAGCTGATTATTTCTCCTGCTTCTCTGTTCCATATGCATTTCAAATTTGGAAGCCCCGAGAGTGTTAATTTCTTCAACAGACTAACTTCCTTTGATTCTTTTGCATTCTCATCCAATGCATTTACATCAAATACCACTTCTAATGAATCACACTCTGATACTTCCAGTTCCTCTAATGCATATATCAATCGCAGTAAATTTGATGAAAAAATCACGTTGGACAATAATGTACATTTTCGAACTACTAGATGCTTCAAAATGCAGAATATATTTGGCCCATCTTGGCCATACCATAGTTCTTTTAGTTCTGGATATACAGAAAATTCCAAAAGACTGAAGCTAGTAAATGCCACCTATGCAAATAATTATCAAGGTAAGGGAAAAGACAATAAGGGCATCGAAGCAAATTAAACAATAACATTTTGTTACTTTCAGTTAATACAATTAATACTATTCATTCAAAGTATTAACTAACTATTATGTTAGCAGAAATAAAGAGGATAAAAATATCTAACTCAAACCTAAACACAGCCTCCTCTTTATTTCGTTAATGCTTTTATGGCAATGGCACCAATATATGATTCTGGATTACATGAGGAATTTGTATTTTTTTTAATTCATCCAAAAGTTAAGATATATCCAAATAGATACACCAAGAAATAAGATGAGTGAGTAATAAAGGCTAATAAAAACTATACAATCATGAAAATAAATATTTACAATAAAAATTAAAGATATTTCCATAATCATTTTTCTTTTTACATAAACAATTGGCTTTTCTGACAGTTTGTTTATACCATTTTCTCATCATATGTCAGGGGAATAAAGAATGATTTTTTAGTGAATCAAAACATACCTTGTCCGCAAACATCTTGTTTATTGTCTTATTCAAATCGCCTTCCCAATACACGTTTCCATCTTCTTCTTTTGATGATATCTTTCGAAGCTTTGGTGTGCTTGTGTCTCTCCCAGCTGAGAAGGTGTTCATTCTTGGGCAATGCTCAATGACAACTTCTTTTAACAACGGAAAGATTAAGAAGCAATTGGAGGAGCAAAACCTCTTGATCATTGGCAGACATTTGAGCTTTAAAATTTCCAAGCTTCTGAATGCAATTTCATCTTCAAATTCCTCCCTCTTTTCTGCCACAACTTGCTCAAGTGAATTGCACTTCGTTATTTTCATTGTGGTTAATTTGACTAGGCTTCTTGCAGTTGATGAGGTAATCAAGTGAACCAATCCATTGCAATTTACCACCTCCAAATGTGTCAGGTGATGAAATGTTCCGGAGGAAGGTGCTAAGTGTCTCAAATTGGAACAATCATGGACCAGTAAGTCTTCAAGAACCCCTAGGACTGGATCTATTCGAAATCCTTCTTTGCATATGTGCTGGAGATCATCCAAGTGCCAGAGTGTCAATGCTTTAAGTCGTGCTCCAGTTTTAGATTTTCTTTTGTCATCTATAGGTATTTCTTCTTGGAATATCTCCCTGAAAGAACTCCATTCAATAAGTAGGTCATTGACAGTTATGTTTTGGAGAACCCAATAGGGAAAAGTGGCATCATCATCTTTAAAATTTGCCAAACGAAGAGATTTGAGTTTGTTGAAGTGTTTTCGTGAAAATTGCCCTTGTAATATCATGCTTGCATCCTCATTATTTAGGGCCAACGTCTCCAAGTTGCAAATTACCTGTATATAGCATAAACGAAAAAGCATTGGATCCAAAGCAATATAACTAAGCAGATGCAATAGTGAGGCAAGAAGCGAGTAACGAATGCACGTATAATAAAACCTGATTAACTTTTTTGAATATATAAAATTATTATGCATGCAATGAGATATTTATGGTGCCTAAATAAATTAAGGTTTTTATATAATAATTCTTATACCTCTTCAAGTGCAAAAAGAGGCTGCCGCATTGAGATTTGGAGTTTACTATGAAAAGCTTTTCCTCTGCCACTCGAACTTTGTGTCTTGAAGAGCTTCAGTTTCCTACATTGACGAATATCTATTTCCTTTAATAATGGATGTAGTAAACTATGATTTCCAGCAAAAAATCCCTCCAGTTGAAATAAACACCAACACACCAATGAGGTCAAATGATTAAACGCAAATTGGACTGGACTATCCATGGGTCCTTCGCCTGGAACAATATATTTCAAACTCCGTGCATACTTTATGGAAATACTTTCCAGTTGAGTAGCATGCATTGCAATGGAGAATGGAAAAAGGTATTTCAAGTTCTCACAGTCTTCAACCCACACAAGTTGCAGGTTATGGAAACGAAGGCTTTCTTGAGCATCTTCATTCCAAATCTGTTTCAGCTTTGGCAAGAGAAACAGATGGAGTTTCTTCAATTGCGAGACTTGTTGTGTCGTTGTTTCCTCTTCATTATGGATTTCTTTGACAGTTAATTCGAATATCTCTTCCACTGAACTACAATTGCTGACCTTCAATGTCTCAAGGCTTCCAAACGTTCCCTGCACATCAGATTGGAAAATATTCGCAAGTTTCCCACAATTGCTCACCTCCAAACTCTTTAACCTACCAAATTGAAAGTGCCATACTTTCTTCAAGCTTTCCATGTCTTTAACTACCATGGTCTCCAATTTTGAGAATCGGACCTGTGATGCAAAGCACAATTTACAAATCCATAATGAGCAACATTATATATGAATGATATTGAAGAAAACTACACCAGAGGAAATGTTTGATGTTATCGACTTAACATTTATTTCAAGTCTAGTCGTAATACCTCTTGTGACGCAATGCTGTTTGGAGCAATGATCTCCTCCATCATCTCACATTTGCTTATTTCAAGGTGTTTAAGTTTTAACAGACTTTCAATCACAGAAGATGAGAATAAGTACTTGAGGCCTCTGCAATCCTCAACTATCAAGTTAGCCAAATTGTGAATACAATTAGCTACAGAAAGGTCATCATCATCCCAAATTTTTTCCAAATTAATTGAGCTCAACTTGAGGGTCTCCAAACTAGAAAATCTAACCTGGGATTAATAAACAAAAAATATTTGTAAATTGTAGAGATGAACTTGCAAATTGTCAAGAGCAAATATTATTGAATAATCATATTTATGGGCTATTGAAACTGTCAAAGACAAATCAAAATATAAAAATTGAGTACTGAAAATACCCAAAAAAAGGAAATGACAAAAAAATTAACTCAGGAAATACTTTAAAGGCAAAATTATGCCAAAAAATTATTTTAAAATATTAGTTGCTACTGAGAAAATGCTTTAGGATAGTAAATGCAACTCGACGGACATTTTGAAGATTTAATAGTGATTTTAAAATTGCATTATTTAATTGCACCAAAATTTAAACATTACACTCAATTTCATCAAAATTAAAATAAAATATATATAAAAAATAATTGTTGACATCTACTTCTAGATATTATACTTAAGTTCATTTTAAAAATTACCATACATACATTATTAGTGTGATAGCCACATATGACGCAATCATTTGATTTAACTTGCAGACAAAGAGATGAAAGAAGAAGAAGAAGAAGAAGCACACCTTAGTGCCATTAAACAACGGTGTGGTTGTCATGCAAGATGTGTATTCATTTGAGCAAAAATCATGAATGAGTGGCAGATGACAGAGAGTCAAGGAGCGTAGTGAATGAAACTCAATCTTATCATCAGTAGTTATGTCACTTTCCACATTTTCAATCAGCACAATCCTTTTCATTGAATTGCAGTTGGAAACTTGGATCTCGGAAAGTTGAGAAAGAGCTTTCACCATTAAAATAGAGTAGAGATATTCCAATTGGTCACAACTTTTGACTTTGACGACTGTGAGTTTGCCAAAGGAATTAAGAGGAAGTGGGCCATGACATATCTTCACTAAGTAATTGAGATTATGAAGTATGAGGGTCTCCAATTCTGGAAATAAACCAAGATAAGTCTTATTATTCCTCTCCATGGTGTTGATAATATGTTGAACTTGGCCATTATTTTGGATATGGAGATGCTTTAGTACTGGAAATCCTTCGCCGTTCAAATCAAAAAGCACATCCGAAATTCCATTGACTTCATCTAAGTACAAATCTTCCACTCGTTTAATCAATGCTTTAATACCATGTTCCAAACGAATGCTAGTCTGAAGCTTTAACTTTAGCAACCTTGAGGTCGTTTTGTTGCTTGACCATTCCCATTTATCTCCAATGATAACCTTGTATCTCTCTAACTTATTAAGCATCATGTCTGACAAAATCCAAGCCTCACGAATTTGAATTTCCAAAGTAGTCAAACTTGTCAAACACACAAGCTCAGCAAGACTAGCACATTTGTTTTCCTCAGTTGAACTTTCCTCCTCCCACTTCATTGAGGCATTGCCCATATAAAGTTCCTCTATTTTAGTCAATTTGGACAAAATGTTGGGGGGGATGAAGTTAATTCTAGAATTGCTCAGATCCAATATTTTTATATGAGTCAATTGTCCTATTTCTCTTGGAAACTCCTCCATGTATGAATCAAAGAAACTAAGAATTTCTAAATTTATCAAGGCACCTATTCCAGCCATATGCTTCAAGGTGCATTGATCTAAACACAATGTTTTAAGTTTGGTCAAGAAAACAAGAGATCTAGGCAATGAAGACATTATCAAGCCTCTCAAATCTAATGCTTCAAGGTTTCGCATTCCCTCAAAAAAATTGTCTGGAATTTCCATAGTGCAAGTATCAGTGTAATGTAAGAGGAAAAATTTCAAAGTGGGGCAGTCTAACTTTTGAGGAAGTTCTTGAATATAACATGGTTTTAAGACTACCTGGGTACATGTTTCAAGAAAACCCTTGCTCGACCAATATTCTTGCATCCTATCATCATTTCTTTTCAACACAAAAACATTTTTTTTCCGAGCAATTGAAAGAGCTACTTCGCGAACAAGATCATGCATTTTAATTGCATCGGTCTCGCTTGCATCATCCTCAAGTAACAAACAAGATGTCCTCAAGTCATGAATTATTCTGTGTAGTCGATTTCTTGCATCTTCAATGGTACCATTTTGTTTCAGAACACCCAAACCAATTACATATTTCAACAAGTCATTAACTGACATGGATGGTCCATATGCACCACAAAGCAAGAATACGTTCTTCATTTCATCATCCTTAAGCTGTTCATAAGTAAATTCACAATACGAAAAAAAGGGCCTGTGCAATACATCTCCATTTCCATCTCCCTTTAAGTTGCTCAAGGCATCTTTCCAATAACGAATATCCTTTTGATATTTTAATCTCTTTGCAATTGAGACTATCATAAAAGGTAAACCTGCACATCTTTCAACCACTTGAGTTGCTATCTCTTTCAATTCACCATCTTTAATAGTATCACCAACCCTATCTTCAAACAGACTCCATGATTCTGTATCATTTACTGTTTCAAGATGAAAACCCTTTTGAATCTCATTCTCATGGAGAATATCTAACCGTCTAGAAGTCAACAATAATTTGCAACCTTGATAAGTCTCATTCTTCTGTGAAATATCTGAATGTTGAGAAGTCAATGATGATTTGCCACCCTTAACATCCTGCTCAAAAGGAATCCCCAACTTGTCCAAATCAATTTTCTCCCATAGATCATCTAGTATGATAAGGATATTTTTCTCTGTTTTTATCCTTGCACATAGGCGGTCGGCTCTTCCAATTGTGGTATTCTCATTCAAGTGGAAGCCTAATTGATATGCAATCTCATCTTGAACTTTTTCGACATCTAATGTTTCAGATATAGTTGCCATAGCCACCACATCAAATAGCTTTTCATCCTTGACATGTTTGGCAATATCTTTAACTAGAGTGGTCTTCCCAACTCCGCCCCACCCATAAATTCCCACTTTGCTTACTTTAGGGTCCATTAGAGACAATATAACCTCCTTCTTCAATGAATTTCTTGACTCAAGCTTTTCACTGGCTCGAGTAGCCAAAATTAAGCTTGCCATGCTAGATGCAGGGACATACCCAACTCGACCCTCAAACTTCCCCTTTTCCTTTATTTCAGCAACGTTGAATGCCATTTTCTTTGCTCTTCTACCAAGTTGATGTCTGGATTTCAAGTTAGGAAAAGACCATTTCCAGCACCGTACATTAGCTTGAGTTTGATCTTCACAAAGTTTTTCTACTTCTCCCATGGTCTTATCAACTCTTTCTTGCCATCTTTTTACATCAGCTTCAATCTCTCTTCCACTGCTTCTTTCTGCTTCAACAAGATGCTCGTTGCGAATTCTCTCTGTCTTCAACTCCTCAATTTTATCCTTTAGCTCCTTAAAATTTTCTTTGTAAAATAATAAATATCCCACTTGCCTTCCAATAGGTATCACAGTTAGCTCAGATATTTTACTAGCAATAGCAGCGAGAATTTCCATTGTTACTTCCTGAATAAAATGGCAAGAAAGTTATTTGTTGGATGAACAGAAGTCATAACAGATCAAAAGATAATCCCCTAGGGGGAAAAAAAAAAAAAGGACGTATACACAATCACTTGGAGCTCTAAATTGACTATAAACAACGGATGTAACTTACTCGCTTAAAATAAATTTTTTTTTTTAAAAAAAGACATGAGTGAGTGGCAGTATAGGAAAATGAGGGAGATGGAAGGGTGGAGAGTGGAGACAGGTGGAATACGGTGACGGCAAAACAACATCTTCAACAACCAGTAACATCGCGTCAAAAAATGGCAATCAATCTAGCTTTTATCATCCTTTTTCTTCCTTATTCTGAATATATCTATGAATTTATTTTTTAAAAAAAAATCTCCCCATTTGCCGTAACTATCGAATAGTTGAGATTTGATTGGAGGGAACAAAATGGCTTGTCTAGCGGCAATTTAGTATTTGTACCGTTATATTTTTTCCCTTTTTTTTCTTTTTATTGTGTTCTTATAGTTCCATATAATTTT